GTTTCTTACAATTGTTTGTCAGACATCATGTCGTTTAGATGAGCCGTTTTCGAGGAATGATTTACAGTACCCGTTCTAAAAACAAAAATGGAACGGTTTTATTTTAAAATTTTATTTAGGATTTCGTTGATTTGGGCCGCCATGAGTCATCTTTGTGAAAATGACGTTATTTATTGTATTATGAAATTTATTATTATTTTATTAAAAAGTGTAATCACAAGGAGCAGAAATATATTATTCTCAAAATCAGTTCAATTTTGACACGGTCCCAAAATTGAACCCCGTACCAAAAATGAAAGGGTAATGTTTTGAAAAAAATTACGACAACGCCATTTTGAAAAATAATACGATAGTAAAAATTGCCGAATTCCAGCAGAAGGTTCATCAATCCAAGGTTCATGGTCCCCAACAATCAACCATGCGAAGTTTCATGGAATTCTGAGAGGTTAAATTTGAAATTCGTTAATTTTTCCGCTATTAAGCGTGGATTTCCTCAAATAAAAAATCAAAATACACTACCGATCATAAGTTTAAGGACACCCCCAAAAAACCATGCAAATATGTTTTGTTCAATGATCTCTCATTTTACGTTCAATTTTCGATCTCCAAAGGTCATTTGAATGGTATGAATGGTATGAATGGTATAGCATAAGTGTTCTACTACTACTACTTTTATTTCAAAATTTGGCCTACCCAATTCTGAGAAAATCAGTCACGATTCTTCAGAGTAAATTTTGAAAAATACTGTAACTTTGGGTGAACTTTTAGCACACAAAATTTGAAAATTATATTGAACAATTTGCCTACGATGAAAGTTCCACTCAATACCTTTCAAATGATCTAAAGAGAACGAAAATTGGACATAACATGACAGAGATATGAACATAACTAATTTGTCATGTTTTTTTGGGGGTGTCCTTAAACTTATGATCGGGTGTGTATATAAAATCCACACTTCATACTTTGTTTTATTAGCCAATTACTCGGTAATAAGTTTTACTGAGATCTCAGCAAATCATATTCCAAGACTCAGTAACGATACGTCACTTTTGCTGAGATCTCGGCAAAACATGTTTACTGGGAGCTTGACTGTGCAAATTTTGGCAAAAATGTCCGAGATTCGGCAAATAAAATTAAGTGTGTAGATTTCATATAACTAACTGCTTGAGGTAATCGGCCTCCAGAATTATTTTGACACAGGGGTCTAATACTTGTCCTACTATAATTGTGTTCGTCCTTAATACGTATTTGTTCTAATGATGCATTTAAAGATTATCTTCGACCTACTTAAAATTATTTTATTACAATGATCAGGAAATCGAAAACTTTTAATGTTCATTTATTACTATTATGATTCTTTTATTGTTTACTTGATCTAAATATTGATAAAATTTAAAAAATTTGAGAAACAATCTTTAAATATATTTATGATTTTTCGTGTTTTATATTTGTCATGTCAAAGATGCTGTCTTCTATCCTAATATTTCCGTGTTGTTCAAATACTGCATACTGCATTATTTTGATAATTTTATTGAAATTACTTGAACATTTTGACTCTGCGTTAACAACACGTTAAATAGATCAAGACCACCCTACTGCTTGCCCCTCAACCGATACCTCTCACTCGAGTTGACCGGAATGAAAAATGACCACAACTGCTCCGGTGGATAGCGATATCCAGTATTGATGGATTTTGAAAACGACACCTCAATCAAACAAAGCCCCTCGCTACGGCTGCGTCAGCAACAGAACAACCACTCTCGGCATTGGCACATTGGCGTAGGATGCTTTGGCAGCGCGTCCTCCCGACGAGTAAGGTTCGTCGTTTGCCGGCTTGCATTAGCCATAAAGCACCCGAAGCTGCACTGACAGCTTTAATTGCAATAAATAATAATACCGACAATAAATGGCACATTGTGTGTTAGTTTTAGCTATTACTATTGTATGTTGCCATTGCCGGAGCCCCGGTGCTCACGAGAATGAACATGTATGCACTGCAGCAGCAGCAGCAGTAGCAGCATAAAGCCAATACAACCAACCGAGAAAGAGAGTGAGTGAGGCGAAATGACGGCCACATGTGCTTTCGGTTGATGAATTGTATGCATTTTATTGACAGTCATCTATCAAATCGTTTTTCGGGACATTAATATCTTCATATAAATCACCGGTAGCGGGTTTCGGAATACTATATGCTTTTCTCAGCTGCTCCCGTAGGCTGTGGGACGCATAGTCGAGCAAGCATCGGAGGTTGCGTGTTTAGAAATAATATATGGTTGATAAAAGCCGAGCATAAATAGGCAGTATATCAATCGCAGGAAGCATGCACTAATTCAATATATGGCTTTCATATAGCCTGATTTATTTCTGAGTGACGTATGTATGAATTGCTAAATGAAGAATAAACACACTCGATCGATGGAAAAACATGAAGCTATTTAGAATGTTTCAAAGTCCACCATCTGCTCTGCCATGTTTTTAAAAGCTGATGATTTTATCAGCAATTTGATCACCATTGTTTTGTCCTTGTCGAATATGTCCCTCATTCTGAACAACGCGGTGTTCCCACAAAATGATGGATTCCGTTTTTCGATTAGCTTTCACTTATAGCGGACGTAAAAAATATCAAAATCCATTCACACGGTCGTTAATCATTACCCTTCCCACTTTCACTGCAAAATTGGTCACGTCGACCGAAATGATGTGATAAAGAGATTTGCAATTCCCAAAATAGTTTAGCAATAGCCATAATTCAAACGAAATATATGTTCACTATCAAACAATATCATTCTCTCTCCTCGCAACTCGATCCCATAAAGCCAGGAGGCGACACTCTTCCCCTGCAGCTCCTCTCCGACGAAAATCCCTTTTCGTTAATTTATGGCAATAATTCTTCCATTTTCGTCATTCCTCCAATGATTTAATGCTCTTTGTCAATGCATCTCGTGTTATGTATGAGAGTATCGGGTCCAATAATCTCCAATCAATATGTGTGTATAAAATTTTGAAATCACATTGAGCCAGTTCCGAAACAAGGACGGTGGCGGCACAGGGGAGACAGTACCGCAACAGAGAGAGAAAAAAAAATGAAAAGCTGAGTATAAATCTTTTGATGAAGCCCTCCTTCCTCGATGATGATGACGACGATGATATTGGAGGCTATCCGATTCAGTATAAGAGTGCGCTATGTGCAAAAAAAGCGAGAGAACTTTTTAAATAGAATTAATCGAAAAGATATAAATTATAACATTTTCATAATTTATGACGATTTTAACAAACATATACACAGGGGCAGAGAGACAGGAAAAACGTCGAACATGGCATCGTCATCGTCGGCGTCGGTTGAACACCGAGCTGCCGATCACACATATTGTGTATGATGTTGGTTCATCGAACGCGGCTGTCTCCACCAGCGGTCGTTCACAATTGCCACAACGCCATATAGCACGGCTTCTGCTGCTGCTGCTGCTGCTGCTGTGGTGGCCGGCCTGAGCTGTCTGTTTGGTTTTGCTCTTATTTCGCCGAAACATATCTTTCATGTGTCAATGAATTATTATGCATAATGGGCTGGTGAGAAAAAATGGCGCTGAGTAATCCACCTACTGGGAAGTCGATCCTGTTAGGGAACGCAAGATTTAGACGACGTGAAGATCAAAGTCATTATTTATGTTTGGCGCATTGGCCCTTTTCAACATGTTCGTCTAGAGAAGTGTTTTTTTTTTAAATTTTGCAGTAGATTTTCGATTGCTCTTTTCGGTGGCTATTTCGTCCTAACTAGTATTTTACGATTGACCTACACATAGTATTCATTGAGTATCATATTAAGTGAGTGCTTTCTAGTAGTGCTTGTATCAGATGTAGTGAAATGATGCTTCCTGAAAATCTCGTTTATCGTAATTGGAATCGAGTCTGCTGACCGGTTTAGATTTTTTTGGTTTTCCCAGAGAATTTAGTCACGGCAAATTTAAACCTTTCCCTGCTGGAATCATATTTTCGAATTAAAGTATCCCAACCAAAGTACGAAATTGTACGTTTAAAAAAAATAAAAAAAATAAACGCTGTTTTCAGAGCATCTATAAATCTTTTCAGTACTCATGATTTTAATTTGATGATACAAATTTATTTGAAGGGTCAGGAGGATAATCTGTTCCCTATTTAGTTTTTTTTTATTTGGTTTAATGCTCAATTCATGTTTTTTTGTGGATCTTGAATTTATCAAATGCGTAGAAGAAGAACATGACAGTTAAGTTCATGAATGAGCAGTGTGTATTCAAATGAAAAATAAATGTTCAACGTTTATTTTTCTTTAGAACTATAATAAAAAAAAGTTCTTGCTCGTTAGTTTGTATCTAATATAATAAATTAAGGGGTATTATTTAAGGAGCAGCTGTCATCCACAACTGAAATTTTATATATGTACCTGCTAATCTATCTAATTTCACAACTTTTTGGCTGTATCCCATAGGAACATATTTTTCACTTTTTGGACCAAAATTAAATTATGGACAGTGTTCGGGACACTACTTGCCGTTTCGCGTGGCAAGTCACACCGATAGTTTACGACGGGATAGTTGGTTTTCGGATTCGCAAAGGAAAGTGTTCTCTGTTTACTGGTCACTGAACAACTGAACTTTATTTCTCCTATCGGTTACACTTCTTGTGTGGATGAGCGAGATTGCGTGTATGATTGAGAGTGAGTGCTATTACGTGTATGTGTTATACAATTCAAGGTAAGTATGGTTTTAGGTACTACATGTTTAAATTCACTTTATTCAATTGATTTCGGGTATCCAAGAAACTTGCCGCAACATGCCGGCCCCCGTTGACAACGTCCAGTTTCAACAGATAACTTGGTCGTTCGTTGTAGCTTCTTCGTCCTGCTCGGTTGGAAGAACCGACACTTCAGTCACGGCTCGCTTGTAGCGGCCGCCCGCAGTCTTTACGACAACCACCCGAACTCGGCCGTCTTTGCCCGGAATGGTCTCGACGATACGCCCCAAAGGTCAGTGGAGTGGTGGCGTATTCTCCTTCAGAAGGACTAGTTGACCTGGTCGTAGATCGGTTTGTTGCTTTCTCCACTTCGTCCGTTGGTGAAGCTGACTCACATAGTCACGTGACCAACGAGTCCAAAGGTCCTGCAGCGTTTTCTTCATATCCTGTAGGCGACTGAGCCGTCCAGGATTGATGTGGTTCAGATCTGGTTCCGGGATTGCGACGAGTGGTTCCCCGACCAGGAAATGTCCTGGCGTCAGAGCCGCCAGATCATCGGGAGAAGCAGTGAGCGGTGATAGGGGGCGAGAATTGAGCACTGCTTCAACTTGCGTGACGACTGTGTGGAACTGATCCACCGAGAATGCTTTCAGTCCCATGATGCGACGGAAATGGTATTTGAATGATTTGATTCCCGCCTCCCAAATGCCACCGAAGTGTGGCGAGCGGGCGGGGATGAACTGGAACTTGATCCCGTTGTCCAAGCAATGGTTTCGCCATTCGTCGCCCTTGAACTGCTGCAGGAACTCTTTACGCGACGCGATGAGCTCACGATCCGCCCCGACGAAAGCGGTCGCATTATCGCAATGTAGCTCCACTATACGTCCGCGCCGCGCGACGATGCGCTTCACGGCGAAGATACACGACGCGGCGGATAAATCAGCGACGATTTCGATGTGCACGGCCTTCACCACCAGACAGACGAAAAGCGAAACGTACATTTTCACCGACACACCCCTCCCATTCAGCGGACGAACGAGAAACGGCCCACAGTAATCCATTCCCGAATAAAAGAACGGTCGTGCTGGTGTAGTGCGTACTTCCGGCAACGGTGCCATGATTTGAGTTGACAGCTTAGGATGACACCGAAAGCAAGTGACGCATTGACGAACTACTGCACGAGCTAGATCACGACCCCGGAGTGGCCAGAATCGTTGACGTACTGTAGCAAGCAGAAGTGAAGGTCCACCGTGCAATGTTTTGAGGTGTATTGCTCGCACGATCATCAAGCTCAGTTTGTGGTCGGACGGTAGCAAGATCGGAAATCGGGTGTCGAATGGTGCGTTCGAGTAGCGTAAACGACCATCGATTCGTAGCAACCCGAATTCGTCCATGAAAAGGTTCATCTTTCGAAGAGGGGACTTTGGTCCAAGATTCGGTGGCGTCGGGGAATTCTTCTGGAGAGTGTATATCTTGACTTCTGCCGAAAAGGAGGAACGTTGAGCGAGACGAGCTAGAACCTTCAGTGCATGATCACATTCATCACGCGACAGTGATCCAGTTGAGCGCTGCTCCTTTGGCCGCTTGCAGTTGTGGTAAAACCTGTAGCAGTGGGCAATACCTTTCAGCAGGTTGGCGAGCTCTGAATATCGGTCGAAGAGCTCTTGATCTACTGTGTTGATATGTAATGCGACGACACGACGAGCCTCCTCGTTGACGAATTGATCATCTGGCGTCGGGAATATTGATTCTGGCCATTGCTCCTTCGGGTATCGCAGGAATTTGGGACCATGCCACCATAGATCGTCTTTCGCGATCTGACTTGCCAGGGTACCTCGCGAAATCCGGTCGGCCGGGTTTAAGTCCGTGGAAACATGTCTCCACTCGAATGCCTTTGTAAGTCGTTGAACCTCAGCCACCCGATTGGAAACGAAAACTTTCCAGATGTTGGATCTCGACTTTAGCCAGTGTAGAACGATTGTGCTGTCGGTCCACATTGTCGTTGACGCCGTAAATTCGGTAGTCCTATGTAAAGAGTCCACGAGCTGACTTCCAAGTAGCGCAGCACAAAGCTCCAGCCGTGGAATAGATTGTCCACGCAGTGGTGCAACACGAGACTTCGAGGTAAGAATGTGACTATGGAGCTCTCCCGTTTCGTCTGGCGAAACGACGTAGACACAGCACCCGTAACCTTTCGTTGAAGCGTCGCAGAAGCAGTGAAGAGAATATTGACGAGAAGTGTTTGCAAGAATCCTTCTCGGAACTTGTAGGATCGATAGCTGCTGGATGTCAGTTCGATAAGTCATCCACCATTCTTGCAATTCGGTAGAGAGCTCCGTATCCCATGGCAAGTGTTCCGCCCAGAGTGTTTGCACAAACATTTTGGCATACAGTACGACAGGCCCGAGCAGACCGATGGGGTCGAACAAGCGGGACATCTCGGACACAACTACCCTCTTGGTGATGACGGCGTGCTCAAAAAGGGCTGGTATCTATCGGTACAACCCGAGTCTTCGTTGTTGTGCTCTCTGGGCGATGGATGGCGTGGTGGGGGAGGAAAAACTGTGGGCCGGATAACGCGCGCGAATTTACCTCCATGTGGCCCAACTTCTGGTACTCCTCCATAACGTTGCTGTATTCTTCATGAAAGTTTTCATCAACGGCGAACTTCTTCTCCATCGACAGCAATCGACGAAGTGCAGGAGTATACGAGTCCCCGATTAGCGAAACCAATTCTTTCCGCAACGGAAGGTGAACGACGTATCGACCATTCTCGTCCCTCGAAATGGTTTGCTGGAAATGTTCCTCACAGAACTGCTCGTCTGGAGTGAATGCCTTTTCACTATCAAGATTCTCAATTTCCCAGAACCTTTCCAACTGGGAATCGAGTGACTCATCGGTACAGAGATGACTAGACTGCACAACTACCTCTGTGGTAGCTTGTTCCGTGACTTTACCACAGACGACGAAACCGAGAACGGTTTTTTGGAGGATTGGATAGCCAGCATCTAGACTGATCTGCTGGTTTTCCAGAAGCAAGTAGAAAAGTTCAGCGCCGATGATGACATCAACCCCTTGGCTAATGTTGAACTGCGGATCGGCAAGTGGTAGGTGCCTTGGAATCCGCCAGCGTGTTACGTCGATGCTGCAACTGGGTAGTGCAACGGTGAGCTTCGGTAAAACCAAGCAGTCAAGATTGGATGTGAAGGTACCAAAGCGAGAGGCAATCGACATGGTTACACCGTAGCGTACGTTAACCATAGACTGTCCGATACCGCTGACTGGAGAATTGAGCTTTGTCCGCTTCAAGTTGAGCCTTTGACACAGTGCTTCGGAGATGAAGCTGGGCTGGGATCCACTATCCAAGAGCGCACGAGCGTATTGGTATTTATTGTCCCCATCCAGGACCTTGATCACGGCAGTAGAAAGCAGCACGGCATTTGTGTTCTGTTTGTGGATCACTTCAGCACTTTGACAGGCATTAGGAGGTAAATTTGAATCGAACGAGACTACCGACGAAGAGGGAGGTTCGTAACCGAAAGCGGACGATAATTCGCGAAACGACGACACGAGTGGTGAGGCGTTCGAAAGCTCAACCGACCGAGAGCTTTGTACCGAACCGAGTTGCGACTGTTGATTTTGCGAACGATTCGATTCAGCGAAGGAATTTAGTTGCACCGGATGTTGTAGACGGTTGCCCATTGTGGTCGAAGGTGATAAATGTAACATCGTATGGTGTTTCTTCGCGCAGGTTTTGCATCCGCCACTGGTACAGTCCTTCGCTAGATGGGCCCCTTTCATGCAGTTGATGCAGAGGCCGTTCCTTTTGATGAGATCGAACCGTTCGTGAGGAGTGAGGGACTGGAATTTGCCGCACTGAAACAGCAAATGTTGCTGCTGACAGCAGGCGCACACTACAGTGTTCGATGAGCTTACGTGAACAGCAGAAACACGTAGCTTCGACTTGCATTCGGGCTGCAAGCCAGCGCTAGGTTGGGAGAGCATAAGGGTTTGTAAGATTCGGAATCGCTTGTGGATGAAATCGACGACACGTTGATATGTTGGTCTAACTTCGCCCGAGAATTGTGTTTCCCATTCGCGAAGAGAGATGGGATCTAGACAACTACTGAGTCGTTCCACCAAGAACGAGTTCCAATGCTCTTCAACTCCCTCAAGCTTATCCAAAAGTTGAACATGGCGGTCAAACTCATCTGCCAAATCTAGAAGTTCACTAGCAGACTCTCTTTTAAGTTGAGAAATTGAAAGCAAGCCAGTCATGTGACGCTTGATTAACATCGGCTTGTTCTCAAATCGGTCTTTCAGTAGCTTCCATGCTACCGAATAATTGTTTGCTGTGATATCGAGGGGAGCAATCATGCGTGCAGCCTCGCCAGTGAGCGATGCACGCAGATAATGCAGCTTCTGCACCATGGTTAGCTGCTGGTTTGAATGAATCAGTGAGATGAAAAGATCGCTGAATGACTCCCATTCATCAAACTTGCCGGAAAATTCTTTGAGTTTGATTTCTGGAAGACGGAGATTTGGCACAGACTGAGCAACGGGGATCGGAGGATTTCTAGACGACGACGGAATACACGGAGGGGGTACCTTGGTTGTCAACGATGCCTTCAGGGTGTAATAAAGACTTTGAAATGTCCGTCTCTCATCACTGAACTCGTCGTCTGCGTCTTCAAGATCTTCGATTTCATTTTGTACTCCCTCAAATTCCCGCCACAATTCGTCCAAATGTTGGATACGAATTGGAAGTTGATTGGCCTGATCCACGACGTACTCAACGTCAAACGTCTGGATCAGCCCTGCCGAATTTAAAATATTTGCACGCCGACGGTACAGGCATTTCATTTTGGTCGCCTTACTGATCCGCTTCGACGGCGCCATCGTGTTGGTTACCCCGAGAAAAGGAAAGAATTTACCTCGTAACGCCTCTTACGCGCCGTGTCGACGACTATGATGATACCAACTGATAATCCGTGTTCCTCCGAACCAATCTACGGACGAAGATTGACCCCTTCCGACTACACCGGTACCAGCAAGGATGATCGGTACCAGCTATCAGCTCCAGGCGACGACGATCAATGCGGCGATCAGCACCAACCACCACCAACCAATCGAGTGACGATCAGCAAGTTTCCAATTTTCACTACGCGGCAGCAAACTATTCTTTTTGTTCGGGAGCGATATCCCTAGTAGAAAGCGCACTAACAATAATCGTCGTAGGTCTATTCACCCTGTGATAATGGAAAATAAATCAGCAACGTGGTTGCAAAGAGATATTTACTACAATATGGTGTATCCTGTGTGGGCACTAGCAGTATTTTTGTTCACTTTTCATGCCACGGGCACAGTTCAACACACTTTTTTTCGTATCTTAGACACTTTCTATCGATCCGGTGGGATTTGTGTCTTGGACACCCCAAAAAAAACGAAAAGTTCACACGTGAATTGATTCGGATCAATTAGGCACCGTCGTGGACGGTTTAAAGAGGGCCACGATCAATTAATTAGCAACGTATTTGCTACTACAACATGCGACCTAGAACAATAGTGGTTTCTGGAACCTTGCCTATGCCGTGGGCATACTTTTTCGTGTCTTGGACACTAAATTGACTCGGACCGGCCCGATGGTATCTGTATCTTGGACACTATATCGGCGACAACGATGTTCACTTGCGAAATGACGCGGATCAGACTATCACCACCGTTGACGGTTCAACGTGACGAACAATTAATTAGCAACGTGGTTGCTACTACACAATGTGATGTAGAACAATAGCGGTTATAGGAACCTTCCCCGTGTGCACTATTAGTAGCAAATTTTATTCACTTTCTATGCCGTGGGCACACTTTAGCGCACTGTTTTCGTGTCTTGAACACCAAGTTTGTTGGATCCACTCCGACGAAATCTGTGTCTTGGACACTTCACAACGACATAACGCGAATCAGGTTCATTCCCGGGTTTCGGCACCAAAAAATGTTCGGGACACTACTTGCCGTTTCGCGTGGCAAGTCACACCGATAGTTTACGACGGGATAGTTGGTTTTCGGATTCGCAAAGGAAAGTGTTCTCTGTTTACTGGTCACTGAACAACTGAACTTTATTTCTCCTATCGGTTACACTTCTTGTGTGGATGAGCGAGATTGCGTGTATGATTGAGAGTGAGTGCTATTACGTGTATGTGTTATACAATTCAAGGTAAGTATGGTTTTAGGTACTACATGTTTAAATTCACTTTATTCAATTGATTTCGGGTATCCAAGAAACTTGCCGCAACAGACAGAATTAAATAAATGAGCTAGTTATGATTTCGTATAGTGAGAAAGCTGCCCAGAACATGTGAAAAATAACAATACAATATTATAAAGCCATCGGCGTGAAGGAATTCAAGAAAAAATTAAAAATATTAAATAGCATTGATTTTCCACTAGAAAAGCTCAAAACTACCTCTCACTCATCTGGTCATATCTCAAAAACTATTTGTCCAAATCATTTATTCTTGGAAACATATCTAGTAGAAGAGTTTTCCATAGTGTGGTAAAAAACGAGCCCAAAATATTAAGAAAAAAAAAACCCGCCCATGGTAAAAACAGGCAACTTTTTGACAATTTTAAAACCTGCCGGTAATCAGTCTGTTTACTGTAGTTACTATAACAAAAACCAAATTTGAATACATCTACGTGGAACTTCAATAAAAACCTTTAAATTGACGTTCTAATATCACGAATATCTTATTTGGTTGTGGAGTAATCTCTTCTGAAAGTTGAAAATATTAAAAATCTCGGAAATCCAGGGTTGTAGAGGATCTAGGCACTTTAGAGTAAAATGAAAAAAAGGCATTTGTTGAGAATGCCAAAATAAGCGATTTGGCCAAGTTTGGCTCATGAGAATTAAAAATAAAGTTTAATTGCAGCTATTTCGAGTACCAGTTTTGGCCACATCAGAACATGTTCCGGATGCCCTCGGGGAAGTGGAAACTATTTGATTTGACGGAAACATCAAATTACACGAAAATCCAGAAGCAAATTCAATGGTAGTCGAATCAAGTGCTCAGGACTACATTGGCCACATCCGGACATGTTCCGTGTGACCTCTAGGAAATTGCCAATTTCTGACATGACCTTATCCCTTGAAGTGACACGACAAATCACACGAGGTCTAAACAACAAGTGCAATGGTGTGCCCAAGATTCCAATCATATTAGGAATCGTGGAGCACATTGAAGTGGGTCGAGAGCAAATACACGGGAACAAATTCAATCTCCAAAATGAGAAAAATCACTCATGATTTCATGAACATAACGTATTTTCATGTTATGAAAATACATCATGAACAATATTCTTGACATCATGAGCTATGTTTGCGTAACGTTGAATCCAAGTTGAAATCATAAACTAAATTCATGAATTTAACTTTTAGCTTTTAAACCAAAATATGTCAAAAACTAAATAAATTAAAGCATCAGACTGGATTCAAACCACGAACCATACTTTGACCACTAGACTATCAGTACTTGTATAAGATGGAAGACAAACAGCGTATAAGAGATATCTATGTAGTGCGGTAAACACATTTTTTTTTAATAATTACTTTATATGTACAGGCTCAATAGAATAAACTTTACAGAGCCAAGTAAGCCTTTCCGTTATACATTATTACTGTCTTATATTTAAAGTTAAAGGAACTGGACCGAGTACTTGCGGTTGTCTCGAGGTTAGTGCAGATTTACAATTTTTTGGATGGGAAAAGGGAAGAAGAAGGTTTGCAATGTGGCTTACGATACAAATATTTAATTAATCCTAAAACATGAAATTATTTCTATTCATCTTGAAAACAAACATTGAAAAAAAAAACCCACGCACAAAATACAAACTAAACACAAGGTTAATACTTGTAGCGGTCATGAATCCGCTGCATTATGAAATCAAGAATTTCAATCACGAAATCATGAATCAGTATTGTCATTTCATGGGATGGCAAGTTTTTTTTTTTAGTTCATGAAAATGGAACCGAATTTTTTTTTTTGGTGTGGGGATCGTTTGTTATTTTCCCCATAATTTGTATTTAGTTTTACTGGGAAATTCAAATTTGCAGCCTTCTCGGCTGAGAAATGTATTTTGGGTAGAGCTTCGAAGTTGAAAAATATGAGAAATACTTGCGACTTAAATTTTTACAGGCATCTCAGGAACCATTTTCAAACATACATCGTATCCAAAACACATAGAACGCCCAAGTAACAACTTTGGTTTATGAGAGTTCTGTAAGTAGACCATGATTTAGACTTGTAGAATGCTTTAAAATCACGATAAATCTAGCAATGTTTCTTGGGCGACCATATGTAGACTTTACCATTTTGCTGTCGATCGATAAATTTGAAATGAAAAGGCTTATTTTTATCATCTTATTCAACGGTCAATGTACTATCATATAAAGGCTGCGGATACACTTGTATGACCAACTATGAACAGGGGCATTATTTGTATTCATGGTTACGCTTGTATAGTTTTATGATGTGCTCATAATTTATTATACATATTGTTGCGTGCACCCTTCGTGCGACGCCACACCTACTAATATATCTCATGGATGCAGCGGCGCCGCGTTGGAGCTGACAGAGGCATAATGTCCATACGGAGCTGTCAATTCGGCGGTGAAAGAAGAAAGTGCAGATCATTGTGGAAGAAAGCTGACAATAGTGTAACACGCGTCTTTAAAAACTACAATTTACTGTTTAATTTACCTAAAATAGCGCATACAATTACCTTAAAACTACTTAAACTAGTGGCTTAGCGTACGGTAGGCAGTTTACTCACACAATAATGAAATAATGAAAATAACTAACATTGAAACGAAACATTGCTATACGCAGGAGGATTTAATTGTTATACGTACAACTGCACATTGAGTCCGCTCTATAATTCGATAATCATCGAGGAAGTTGAGGTAAAAATAATTGAATTAACCTAGCTTAAACCTAATTTTCCTAATTCACTAAAAATATACAGAAAGATTACGTCTCTGAATACCGTTACGAAGATCCGGCTTACAAATCGGAAACCCTCACAAACGTAAGAAAACATTATATTTCTAAATTATTGTTCCTCACAATTTTGTATACTTATAGGGAAATTTTAACCGTTTTACCCAAATATACGAGTTAAAATTACGGAAAAGTGTTTCCCTTTCGTTGCATACGCAACACATATAATGGTCATGTTCATAATTTGTCATACAAGTGTACCCGCAGCAAAAGTCTGTTCCATTTAGAATTTGGTCACACAAAATGGGTCATTTCTTCATTGAGCGAACCAGAGGAAGAAGAAGATAACTATACAGTATGAGTGGTACCATAGGACCCCTTCTCAGAACGAGTGTATTGATAATGGTTTGAAACAAGGGGTGTTACTTACCTTACCAATCAGGCTAAGGCCTTGTTGTCCTCTGCTGTCCGAAGAAGTCGTCTCCACTCTACTCGATCCATGGCCACAGTTCGCCAGCCTCGTAGTCTGCGAAGGGTCCGCAGGTCACCTTCAACTTGGTCGATCCACGTTGCCCGCTGCGCACCTTTTCTTCTTGTTCCTGTTGGGTCGCTTTCTAGAACCATTTTCACTGGGTCATCGTGCGGCATTCTTACGACGTGCCCAGCCAACCGTAGTCGCCCAATTTTTGCAATGTGGACGATGGATAGTTCTCCCAGCAGCTTGTGCAATTCGTGGTTCATTCGCCCCTCCACGTTCCGTCATCCATCTGCACTCCACCGTAGATGGTACGCAACACCTTCCGTTCGAAAACACCAAGGGCGCGTTGGTCCTCCACGAGCATAGTCCAGGCCTCGTGGCCGTAGAGGACCACCGGTCTAATCAGCGTTTTGTAGACAGTCAAC